GCAAGGCAAGAGCAGGACGCTTTTAGGAGACAGATCTCTGCCCTTCGCAGATCTAAAGTAACCACCAGCTGCTTCAATCGTCTCGTGAACACAATCTCATCCGCCTTGACGACTGTCGATTCTTCTGCACCGCCTCCCTACCGTAAGCCTCTTTCTTCGGGCTTCTTCTTATTCCAAGTCAAATATAGGGAATAATCGTCTCAATCTGGTTCTTGTTTCTTTCCGGTGAAGCCAACAGCAATGACGGCTTGAAGCACGGCAAGAGCAGGACGCTTCCTTCCACCGCCAAAATTTGCCGCATCTCTCTCTGGAAGCTTTTCTTTCCGATCAGTTGTTGTGGATCAGGATTTATTTGGGTTTTGAACCATCCAAACCGACCCAATGGACACTAAAACCGATAGGGTCTTAAATGTTTCGGGTAGGTTTGGGTTGAGATTTATTAAAACCGACATATAAGTGTCAGGTGGTCAAAATGCTCCAAATCCGACCCACCCGAACTATGTTCATCCCTAGTTAGGTATGGGTGGAAATTGGTACAGTATCGGTATTTCAATATCAAATATCAAAATTCTGAATACCGAATTACACGCTAAGATCGATCCCAATCTCAACTCCTACATATTTCGGTATCCCAATCGGTATTATCGAATACGAAATTAATTATCTTTGCAATTAATAATTAAATATATAAATTAAATTTGATTGTTTAATTTTGGGCAAAGAGACTAAGCAAAGAGTCTTGAGTTTTCCCAGAGCTAGTATATGGATAAGAGAATGAAGGAGAGGTGACATCTCAAATTCTTGTCATGGGTAATCTTTAATTTAACGAATTGGAGGCTGAGAGACAACTAATACTAGTGTTTTCTTTTTGGTGTTATAAAAATAACAATAGATTAGGTGAGAGACGAGAGTATCTTAAACCGGAAAGTCAAAATTGAGTTGGATGGGGACTTCTAAGTTGTGAAAGAGTGAGGAATGACCAAACGTCGCTTTTTGGATTGCTATTCGAATACCGAATAGCACTCCAAAATAAATTGCAATCTCAATCCCTAAAAAATAAGTCGGTATTCGGTAATACCGGATAGTGATAAATTCAATATGGTATTCGGTATATCCCAAACACCGCTACCAAACTTCCAGCCCTAATTATAGGTATTGTTTGATTATTTTCTATTTTGTATTTAAGATCTTGTATATCTAGTTAAGTATGTAACTATAAAAATATAGAATACACATTTCTCCATTGAGCAAAAATTCAATAAGTTATATGAGCAAAGGGAATAAACATTTTTTTACAACAAAAAATTCAATAAGGTATTTTTGCCATGACCTTCTCTTGAATTCTCAAAACTTCCGCCGCTCCATCCCCGCAGGGGCAGTGAACCCGTCGCCTTTTTTCATTGATTTTGCATTTCCCCCAGATTTATGCTTCTTTTTCAATCCTGAGACGAGTATGAGGAGAGAGAAGTCAGAAAGAGTTCATGTTGGGTAATCCGAACTAAGGACGGGTTTTTGGAGTTAGCTCATCCAAAAGTTTCCCCATTTTTTAGGAAGAAAATCTTATCTCGTCTCACTATCCTCATTTTCCAAGGTTTTCAAAAAAAAAATTTGTCATAGGTATTCCCGTCGGAAAACAGCAGAGATACGACAATATACAAGACCTTTGTAGGTCAGGCCACTAAATGGAACTAAGAAAAAAATGTTGATCGACAAGTGTATGACCAACTCAACAAGGGACTTTTTTCCACGGAATGGACGGCCCTGTTATATCTTCGCGGCCCAAAAGGAAACGTTGCACGCTGGAATGATGTTCGCAACACCTGAATTACCAAGGTTTCCAATTGTCCAAGTTACTTTTTTTCCAAGTTTGTTCTCTTTTTGTCTAACTCGCTTCCTTTTTTCTTTGTGACTTTCGGAAATATCCTCATTCATGCCCCGACTGCCACAGTAGTTAATATCGATATTTTGAGAATACGCCTTAGCGACCAATGGTTAACGATGGCTCTGATGGGTGGTTTTTGGTTTTTAATAAACGAGAAATTTGGGTCCAAATATATCAGGTAGAAAACTAGGTAATTTATGTGTGAGATTTGAACCAATTATTTTATTTTTTATAGATCCTGAATTTTAATATAAAAATTGAAGTTCAGTTATCCATCTTCTTCATAATAGCTGTTTGTGCTCGGATTGTTCCAAGCGGTTTGTGAGACTCCACTGGCCTTGGGCGGCTCCGATGGTCGAGGGCGGTCTCCGAGACCCTGCAGAAAGGTCCTCAGGGGGTTCCTGGGACCTCCTCCGATGCTTAAGTTAGAGAGAGAAGTGAAGTGTGAGTAAATAAGAGAGAGAATGGAGTTGGTTGAAGTTACCATCAATGTGGCTCATCATTGGGTATTTATACTAGTTGTAAGCGGATCGTGGGCATTTAATGACTTGTCGGGCGTCCTGGGGCGCCTTCGACAGTACTAACATTTCCGTACTTTGTCAGACTCCGTACCTGAGGAGGTCAGAGGCAGGTATCCGTTTTCCGTTATGTCGGGCGACCATTCTTCCATGTCGGGCTGTTTTTGTCCTGTTCGGGGAGAAAGACGCCTTCGGTCGGTTTGGTGGCCCGCTGCCCCTGTTCAGGCCCGACCTGTTATGTGGGCCTTAAGTGGCTATGGGCCTGGAGTCCAAGTGTCTCAATATTTGGCCCAACATTTGCCCCTTAGGCGTGGGAAGCGATAGGTTTTCGCGGCTAAACGATGCTTTTGCCCAATATTGAGCGATTCTGGGTCTTCTGACCCATAGTACACGTTGGGCGGTCTAAAACCGCAATGAGTGCACTCCTTTGTTGCCCCTAGTCGCGGAAGCGTATCGTGAGGGCGTCTGAGGGGCGAAGACCGCGTCCGGCCTTGTCGTTCGGGCTTATAGTCTCTACGTGTCATACATCGGGCGCGGAGCCCTGACACCGGCAGGCGGAACGTCACCTCTAGGGGTGTTCCGCTTCGGGTTTCGCGAAAAAGGTCTCATCGAACGTCATTCTTTCCTTTCTCGCCTTTAAGTAGGATTTTGAGAGAGATTTTCGCCACTTTTCTCCGGTTTGGGAAATCTCTTCGTCTTCTTCCTCTTTTCTTTCTCTGCGAGAAGCTCCAAGGCCTTCCACTTCGCCGGCTATAAATTCGATCCGTCAGGTGAGTTTTGACTTGGGTTTTTTGTTTGGGACGCGCGATTTCTTTGGGTTTGCTGACTCGCTTCTTATTCTTTGTGGACGGCGTTGTTGCTTCGGGGTGTGGGGAATGTCTGGGTCCGCTCGCAATCACCGCCGGCAGATGTCGAGTGAAGGACGCCCATCTCAGGTCAGCGGGTCGAGGCACGATGCTCCCGACGCGGGAAACGCTCCGATTGCCGACTCTGGACCCGCGGTGGTGTCTGGAAAGGGCCCTGCTTCTTCCGCCGCTACCCTACCGCTGCGGGCGGCCGGGAAGAAGCTTGCGGAGACCGCTTCTGGTATTCAAGGTACGAATCATTCTTCTCCCGTTCGAAGCACGTCTGAATGCGTGTGGGATTTATCCGGGTTAGAGTTATATGTTGGAAATGGGTATGAATTGCGAGATTGCCTTGTTGGGACTTGTGTAGACTTAGATAACTCTTGTGCTAACCTCCACCCTGTGCCAGTTGGGGTTGTGGCCACGTCGTCGGCGGTCGGGGATAATCTTGGGGAATTTGAGTGGGTAGAATTAGGTAGTGTTTCATCGGAGGAGGATGTAGAGGTGAGCAGTGATGGTGTACGGTCAGAGGCCACTCCTAGTATTTCCTCTTCTTTGGAGGTGTCAGAGTCTGGTGAGCCGAGACCGCTCGTGGTGGCTATACAAGATTCTGTATACACCATTCTACGTCACGCCGGAATGTGGGAGGGCGCGCCAATTCTGGAGGAGGTGTTCGAGCAAGGGCCTAAGACCTCAGGGGCGGTTTTTAAACCCGGGCAAGTGTTGCACCGTCTTAAGACGCTTCGCCTGCCCCCTGAGTGGCAGTATGCGGCGCCTTCGGAGATTAGCCGCTCTGGGTCTTGCCCAAGCGGTTGGATACCGATACACGTTGAGCATGTTAAGTTGGGTCTCCGTTTTCCACTGGATCCCATTCTAACGAAGGTATTGCACTGGCTCAACTGTACTTTGGGGCGGCTTTCTCCGACGATCATCTTTCATTCGGTGATGTACCGTCTGGCGTGTGACCACCTTAAAGAAGAACCGTCTTTTGAGGCTTTCAGGTTGATTTACAACATCAGGGATTCGACTAACTGTTGGTCGATCGGGCGGCGGGAGACTTCGGTTGGTTTTGTCACCGGGGCGCCGAAGTTGGACTCTCCCTGGTATAGGGAATTCTTTTTTGCCAAGCCATCTGGGAAATGATATAGTGGCGATGCTGGACCGCCTACCGGTTACGCGGTTGGGTCGAAGGATGCCTGGTGCGATTCTAACTTGTTCCCTCAGTCAGTGCGTGACCATGTAGACCGCATTGTAGAGGCTGTTCAATTGCGAGTCCAACACAGCGGTTCTGACAGCGCTTATCAGCTCGTTCGTGGCTTTTACGGTTAGTAATGTGTTCTTTTGGCTTTGGTGTTTACTTTCTCATGCCTTTACTTATGCTTTCTTTCTTCATGTCTGAGGGAGCTGGCGGACGCAAACAGGCCGAGGAGGAAGAAAGCGGATGTGAAGAAGGCCGCTAGAGCAGGCGGCGGGTCGTCCTCTGCTGCGGTTGTACAGAATGAACCGCCCCCGACATCACCTATCCACTTGGATGCTGATTCCCCAAATGCGACCGGCGATGGCGCGATTCCTAAGACTCGCGGAAGCGGCTTCGAAGCGTCCCAGGGTACGCGGTTCCCCGTCGAAGGCGGAGGACAAGCGTGGTAAGGGGTGAAGCGGTCGGATAAGCCAAGTCTTGTGAACATCCCTTCGAAGGCCGCCACTGATACGGAGGCGGCTGAGCTGGCATTCCACACAGTTAGTGAGCAGCTGGCCATGCCGAATGAATACACGGCCACATCTCCGGAGAGCAGCCGCCGTCTGGCGGGAACCGCTTCTCAGTTCTTTTTCGGGGTCAGTGGTCCGTTTTATGTGTTGCAGACTCAGATTGAGTTTTCCTGGTTGTTGTTTTTAACCGATCTCGTTTATGCATTGCAGGCACAGATCGGGTTTTCTCAGATCATCCTTCTCAACGACCGCTTGTCGAAGGCTGTTGATGATAACGCGGTCGAGATTGCTAACCTCAAGAAGAATCTGGAAGGAGGTCGTGCAGCATTGGAGAAAGAGCTGCGTCAGCAAATAGGGAAAAGTTTTGATGAGGAGTTAGCTCGGAAGGACAAGGAGTTAGCAGACGAGAGGGAGGCGTCCAGGCTGATTCGGGAGGAAAGGGACCGCCTCCAAGACTCGCTTCGGAAGTCGGGTGAGATTGAGAAGACTCTTTTGGAAGAGCAAGACGCATTGAGCAAGGAGGTAGCCGCCCTGAAGCTGGAGAAGACCGCTCTGGAGGAGAAGCATGAAGCGGAGGTGGCCGCTGCCCGGGCCGAGGTGGGCCCCGCCTACCTTAAGTCTGCAGAGTTCCTGGCCTATGATAAGGCAAAATATAAGGAGGTGGTTGGCAATGTGGTGGCCGCCATTCGTCATTTGGTCCGTGAGGAGTGCCCCGACTTGGGCTGGGACTCTGACCGTGTGTGGGATGCGGTTGGTCAGTGGTCCTCCTTGGATGTGAATTCGGAGGCGGACGACTCAGAGGAGGATGGAGAGGACACCGAGCAAGGTGATGCGGATGAAGGAGGATCTCCAGCGGTCTGAGACCGCTTCGTACCATGTGTTATGGGGACGAACGATTTCTTTATCTTTTGTCGTATGATCTCGTAGTAAAGACATTTTCCTTCGCGAGATTCTTGTTGTGTTTCGAATGATATTTGTTGCGACCGCGTTGGTGCGGGTTAATGCATTACTTGCGACCTCATTCGACCATGTTTTACCTCGTCTGAGGGTTATAGTGGTTTCGCGGGCAGTGATGCCCTTTTCCCTTTGTTTGTTGACCGAGGAACGCGGATGTTGTGTTGTTTCGTGTGTTTTCATGGATCTTTGAGTTAGTTGACTTAAAACTTGTATAATGCGAGAATCGAGATCTAAAGTGTTGGCCGAAATAGATGTCAGTGTATTACGTAAGGGAAAGTGGGTGCGTGATAGCAACCCATACACTGTTACAAGTGGTGGGGCATTGCCCTCTCCACCAAAAGAGATCCAAAAGCGGGTGCTTGGTAGCAACCCGTACATTGTTTCACTGAGGAGTGTGGTACCTTAGAGCACGTCTGTGTGGTACTTCCGTAGATGCATGTCGTTCCATGTCTTGGAGACTGGATCTCCTTCCATGGTTGCAAGACGAAACGTGTTGGGACCGGTCTTTTCTCCAATGAGAAACGAGCCCTCCCAGGTGGCCGCTAGCTTGCCATGTTCGTCTTTCTTTTGAAAGTCTCGCTTGAGAACCATGTCACCCACTTCGAGAGGGCGCGGTTTCAACTTTCGGTTACAGCTGGATGCGACCTTGGCCTTTTCATTCATGATGCGCTCCAGGGCCGCCTCCCGTCTAGATTCCACCATATCCAAGTGTTCAAGCAAGCCTTGATGATTGGACTCAGGGTGGTAGGCTTGGACGCGGAGGGAGGGCATGACCATTTCTTCAGGAGCGACCGCCTCAGAGCCATATGTTAGGGAAAAAGGGGTCTCTCCCGTAGCCGTCTTGTAGGTAGTGCGATGCGCCCACAGGATGTGGGGGAGTTCGACCTTCCATGCCCCTTTGGCGTCTCGGAGACGCTTTTTAAGTCCTTGGAGGATCAACTTGTTGGATGCCTCTGCTTGGCCATTGGTTTGAGGGTATGCCACTGACGCCATTGTGCACGCAATGCAGTTTCGGGCGCAGAAGTTCTCAAACGGCCTGCAGTCAAATTGTGTGCCATGATCAGTAATGATTGAGTGCGGAATGCCAAACCGGATCATGATGTTGTTGAACACGAATTTCTGGACTCGGGCGCTGGTGATGGTCTCAAGCGGCTCAGCCTCGATCCACGTGGTAAAGTAGTCGACGGCTACGACCAAGTACTTCCTTCCTAGTGGGGCGGTGGGAAAGGGCCCCAAGAGATCGAGTCCCCACCTGGCGAAGGGCCATGGGCCGACCACGCTTTGCAGCTCGGAGCCGGGCAGGTGGTGTTTGGAGGCATGTACTTGGCACGCGTGACATTTTAAGACGACGTCGGCGGCGTCTCTCTTGACGGTCGGCCAGTAGTATCCTTGTAAGAGGACGGTTCTTTCAAGCGACCTGGGTACTGCATGGGTGGCGCACGTCCCTTGGTGTATCGCTTTCAAAGTCCACCGCGCCTCTTCAGGGCCTAGGCATTTCAGGTATACGCCAAAAAATGACCGCTTGCATAACTGACCGTTCACCATGGAGTATCGGACCGCCTTGCGCTTGAGCGCTTTGCGTTCGATCGGGTGTGAGGAAGTGATGTCCTGCTCCAGGTATCGAATCAGTGGCGTCCTCCAATCGGTCGTCTCTTCCAAGGTCATGATCTCCTCTTGTTGGTCTTTCTCCTTAGTTACGGTGACATGACGATTGCCTTCGAAGTCCATGGCAGTGGCCAGTTTGGAAAGCACGTCGGCATGCTGGTTGTCATCCCGCCGCACGTGTTCTAGCTTCCAAGAGTTTAGTTGTGCCAAGGCGCTTCGCACTTGGGTAGCCAGGACGGCCAGCCTCTCATCCTTAATCTCGAATGCTTCATGCACTTGCTTGACTACCAGGAGAGAGTCTGAGTATATATGCACATCGGACGCGCCCAGGGTGGCGAGTATGCGAAGTCCGTTGATGAGAGCCTCGTATTCAGTGACGTTGTTGGTCTTGATGTCTTTGAATCGTAGGGAGATTTCATGGATGACACCGTCCGGCGATTCAATGACCATTCCTGCCGCCGAGGCGGTTTTTCCTGCTGCCCCGTCGGTGAACAGTCGCCAGACGTGATTAAGCTCCTCTGAGGGAACGCCTTCCAGTGAGAACCCCTCGGCGATGAAGTCCGCCAGCACTTGGGCCTTGATGGCCGGCCTTGGGGCGTACTCTATGTCGAACTCGCTGAGCTTGATTGCCCATTTCGTCAACCTCCCGGAGGCGTCCATGCCCCGCATAATACTCTTGAGGGGGAGGTTTGATAGAACTGTGATGGGGTGTTCTTGGAAGTACGGTCTTAGCTTTCGGGCCGCGGAAGCAACAGCGAGGACCGCTTTCTCGACCGGCATGTATCTCGTTTCGGCGGGGAGAAGGGCTTTGCTTACATAGTATACTGGCTGGTCAGAACCGTCTTTTGCCCTTCGAACCAGGACGGAGCTCACGGCTCGCTCGGAGACCGCCAGGTAAAGGTAGAGCCGCTATCCACTCATGGGGGCGCTCAAGACTGGTGGTGAGCTTAGCTGACTCGTTAGTAGGGTGAAGGCTTTGTCGCACTCGGCACCCCATTGGAGCTTTGAGGCTGACTTTATGAGCATCTGAAAAAATGGGGAGCACTTATCCGCAGACCGCGGGATGAACCTTCCAAGCGCGGCCATTTTACTTTGAACGCCTGGATTTCCTTGATCGTCTTTGGCAGTTTCAGGCTACGGATGGCCTCTATATGCTTCGGGTTAGCTTCTATTCCTCGCTTCGTGATCATGAAGCCGAGGAACTTTCCTGCCACGGCTCCGAAGACGCACTTGAGTGGATTGAGCCTTAGGTTTTTCCGTCGCAGAGTCTCGAAGGTTTCCCGCAAGTCAGAGAGGTGGTCCCCGGCTTTTTTGCTTTTGACTAGGACGTCGTCCACATAGGCCTCGACGTTTCTCCCCATCTGGTCTTTGAAGACCGCGTCGACCATCCTCTGGTAGGTCGCTCCAGCATTCTTTAACCCGAATGGCATGACTACATAGCAGAAGTTACCCATGGGTATCATGAATGCGGTTAACTCTTGGTCGTCCTCTGCCATCTTGATTTGCTGGTAGCCTGAGAACATATCCAGGAAGCTGAGCGCCTCATGGTTGGCGGTTCCGTCTATTAGTTGGTCGATGCGGGGCAGAGGGTATGCGTCCTTGGGGCACGCGGCATTGAGACTGGTGAAATCGATGCACATCCTCCAAGCGCCCCCGGCCTTTCGTACGAAGACCGGATGTGAGAGCCATGTGGGATACTGGACCTCTCGTATGAAGCCAGCTTTTAGGAGACGCCTTACTTCCTCTTCAAGTGCCATTTGTTTTTCCACAGACAAGTGTCTCCTCCGTTGTTGTATTGGCTTTGCTTTAGGCTTAACGGAGAGTCGGTGCTCAGAGACTCGGCGGGGGACGCCTGGCATGTCTTCCGGACCCCATGCGAAAAGGTCCTGAAACTCTCGGAGGAGGGATAGCAGTTTCTGAGCTTCCTCGTTGGCCAAGTGGGCCGAGATGCGCACGGTTTTGCTTGGTTCTTCTTCGGTGAGAGGAACCGCTACGTCGCCTTCCACCGCCTCCGGACGGGGTACGTCATCCCTTGCGTCGACTAGATCGACCTCCAAATGTTCAATCGTTGCCTGGTAGCACTCTTTGGCGTCCTTGGGGTTGCCTCGAACGCGGCCTGTTAGGCTTCCACTTGGGAACTTCAGCATTTGGTGGCAGGTTGAGGCGACCGCTTCGAAAGTTGCGAGGAAACCTCGGCCCAAAATAGCGTTGTAGGCGGAAGGACAGTCCGCGACGTGGAACTCCACCGGACGAGTCTTTGTAACTCCGCCCTCTCCTATGGTGACTTTGAGGGTGATTGACCCGAGGACACGGACTTTTGTTCCTGAGAACCCTACCAGGCTGGTGTTGGAGGGTTGGAGGTCTTGGACGGTCTTCTTCATTCCTTTGAGCGCCGAGTAGAACAGTATATCCGCCGAGCTCCCGTTGTCGACTAGGGCTCTGGTGATTTTGAATTTGGCAGTTCGAAAGGAAATGACCAAGGGGTCTTCTGATTTTTCTTCGTTGGCCAACTCAGAGGGCAAGAAGGCGACCTCTGTCGGTGCTCTGCGCTGCACGATGAGGCATTGAGCGATGCGGTCTCCTTCAGTTCTTGGGTGCTTTCGCCCTCCTGCGATCGTTATGACTTCCATTCCATCATCATCGTTCCGTGGTGCTCTGTAGGGGGAGACTGCCTCAAAGGGGAGGCGACTTTGTTTCGGGAGCGGGATCTTGATCTCTCCTTTCTCATTCGTCTCGTCTTGTCCTGTTCAGGACTGGGAGACTCCTCCCGCTCCTCTGTTGAGTGCTCTCTATGAGACCGCCTCATTTCTAGCTTGCTTCTTAGGTCTCCCGGGGCCAGATGTCGGAGCGTAGCCTTAAACTCTCTACACTCTGTGGTGTCATGGGTTGTGATTTGGTGCCAGTCGCACCACTTCTTTCCCTCCTGCGGCTCTTGGGCAGAAGGCGACTCGTATTTCCTTCCGCCTTTCTTTCGATCTCTGCCCCTTTCCTTGTCGGTGGAAAGCACGTCTCTTCTTCCTTCTCGATCATTGTACCTGTTTCGGTATGACCTTCGGTCTGGGGACCGCCTTCCCCTCCTGGAGTCTCCACGCTCTGAGGCGTCTCCGCGGGGGCGGCCTTGCTGGCCTCGGTCGTCATTGGCTAGCGCTTCCTCCAACAAGATCGCTCGGCGTACCAATTGATCTAAGTCGGACCAGGCCGTCAGGGTTGCCTCTTTTTTTATCAATGTCCTTTTCAGCTCGAGGCTAGTCGTTGAGATTCGGAGGTTCCCGGCGGCCACGACAGGGGAGATGCCGTCT